CCTCGGAAGCCACTTTAACGGGGCGTACTGGCTTTAACTAAGACTGTCTTATAATGCCAAACTTGCGCAAGTTATCGTCATGCCGTTTTGTTATTAAGTCAGAAATCCCACGTGATTTCCTTTTGGTCATGCTCTAGAGTTTTTGAAAATCTTCCAGAGGCATGATCCTGGCCAGATCACGTCGGAGCTTTGACTTCATATCTATACCCTTCAACTACTTACTTGAAAAGATATGAAGACCAAGATGTTGTGGCCCCTGGTATGGTCACAGTCTTCTTTCGATTTTGCCGTCGTGCGAATTACTAAGAAAGTTGAGGATAAAAACAGTTTTCAAAGAAACCCTTGCACTTTATTCTGTTATGTCATCTTTTAGAGCGAAATATCACCTATTATCGAGATCCGACTGCTACAAGATTGTTTGCTCATGTAGTCGATCTTATGTTGGTGAGGCATGCCGACCTATTCGACAAAGATTGAGGCAACACAAAAACGCTTGTAAAGGAAGCTGGGTGCAACAGTCAGAAGTTGCCGAACACATGGTAGAAACTGGACATGAAATATAATGGTATCAAACTATTAGGTTTGCTGATTATTGTACGCCTGTTGTTAAAAGAATGAGTAGAGGCTATTGAAATTTGTTGAATTTGAGGAACGGTAGTAGAAAGTTGAGCAGAAACTACTTATGCTTGACTGATAGATTGAAGGAAAAAGAGGGTGTTGAGTCGCCGTCCATAACAAGGCGACTCAATTTGTATGCTCGGTGATGGTTCTAACTTCACTCACTCGTCCAACATGTTAGATTAAGTTCATCAACCAAACTAGACGTGCCAGATTACGCAGCCCTAGTCTTTCCTTTCCTCGGGTGGTTAAACGTTAATGCTCCTAGATTGAGAGGTTAGGACAAGTTGCTTTGTAACTTGACTCACAAGCTTACATCTCATTATCTCAACCATACTTGATTACGGACTTACGCAGTCTCGGTCAGGGCTTTCTCTTGGGTTATTAAGCCTTGATGTTCATAGCCTGATATTTCTATTTCCATCACTCTGAGTTAGGATCGGTATTGCATATGCACGCTAGCACGAACACACTCGAGCAAAAGTAGCAGGACCAGTGTGAAAGATAGTTAGCCAAACCACTCTATATCTGTAGATACTAAGAGAAACTGGGTTTCGATGAAGCTCAGCACGTTTTCACTCGAAATGAAGGAGGAAGTCCCGTGGATAGCGTCAACATGAATATCGTATAAAATCCAACCGGCTGCAGTACAATGAGTTTCATCCGTCTTCATCTGGTGAGATCGACCAATGAATCTCTTCTTCATACACTTTCATGCGAGATGAAGGTCCCACTAACACTCTATATCTATCTAGGTTTTTAATTTTCTTTTGCTAAAATTAAGTCTGTATAAGAGGTAAGATAGAACTTAATAGTCTTCTTGCTCTAGTGTTAAAGCTAGACTTTTACAGGAATGATACCCAGCTCTGATGATGTCCATCATATGACGGACGAAAGCTCAGTCCCTTTTTACCCGAAACGAGAGAAGAGGTCTCATGGACTTCGTCAACCGGAACATCGTATAAAAGCCAAATGGCTGCAGTACAACGGGATTCATCCATCCTCTTGTGGTAGGATCGACCTTCATTTTTTTAATACGAAATGAAAGTCCCTTAAGAAATAAAAAATGATCTTAATTATTCTACTTGTGACTGTGCTAGGGTTGGCTCTACTCGCTGGCGCTGCCACAGAACATTTGGGAATATACTCATTTTACGCTTAGATTGTGGTACAACACTTGAAATCGGTGACCGAAGATTCACTACTCTTTTACGAAGTCAGCATTAAAAATTATTATGTTGCTTAAACATAATCAACCGAACTCAATATGATTATCGCTTGAAGATTTCGGCTCTATCCAATAAAAATTGGATTATTTTAAATTCCTGAGCTTGTATCACGAAAAAATATTGAAAAAGCCCATTGAAATCAACACCTCGTAGGTTAAGTGAAATATGTCCTGGCACCATTATATTTTTACCAGACATTTCGCCTTTTAACTTCAGAATCTCATTAGTGTTTTTAAATTTT